TTTTATGTTTGTGTGTGTGTACATATTTGAAATGAACTCTTTTTGCATGTCTCCCTTCTCCTTACCCCCACTGAAAGTTTTGGATTTCATGATGTAAGCCTGGGAATTCTCCACCTCACAAGGAGCACGTGGAAGCGTTGGTGCTACCTCCTGCCCTTTGTAGGTTGTATCTTGGGGGCCTGCAGCGTGAATACAACGGAGATAAGAGAGAGAAAGCAGCAAAATGAGATTTCAGTTTGCAAGAAAATATCACGTTCTAGGAAAGTACAGTTACATATTGGTATTTAAAGGGGAGTAATTGCCACCAGAAAATCATTGGAGCTTCACAGGCACCGACATGGAGTTATAGTAATGGGATGGGCTGGACTGTGCTGCAGCACTGTGGAACAGCCTGGGCGTTTGGGGAAGCTGAGCACTCCACTCCAAAGGACTGCATTCCTGTGGGGACTGGGATTTTGAAGCAGAAAAGAACATTACAATCTGATGGATGTAAAATTGCAACAAAAGAGATGACTTATTTATAAACAACGCTCATTACAAAATCACTGTGACATGTCTAAAACCTCACCCCTTCTGTGTTGGTGCTGGTACAGAATGCAGCAACCTTAATGGTAAAGGCCTAATCATTTCGAGCAAATACCTCAGAGCTGCATCACATCTTATTGAAACTATCATTTAAAAAGACTTTTAACACTTTACGAAGGGACATAAATCACCGGGCTCTGAAACAGGAAGTGCAATTATCTGAATACTGTTGCTTCCAATCAGTTAGCAATAAAAACACGCCAAGGCCATTAAAATGATAAACACTGCATCATTCCATTTTTTTTTTTTTTTTTTCCTCACCAGGAAGCATTAAAAATAAATGACAAAAAATGCAAAGCAGCCTTTAGACATTTCAAGAAACCTCACGGTGCCGGCAGCCAGAGCAACACAAGCACCCTTCAGATACGGCGGTATCTTAAGTGCATTCTTTCAAACAAGTTAAAACGACAACCGAATTAATTGTGAGTACAAGCAGGTACCACGTCTGTTTGCTTGTTTGTTTTCTCAAAGCTACTATCACACCATTGTAGGCACTAGCTTGGCACAGCCGCGCTTTCCTGCCGAGCTCAGCCTTTCTGCGCAGTCACACACGGCTGTTTCTCTCCCCCCAGTTATCTACAAATCTCAAGTAGATGAGAGAGCCTCCAGCTTTGGTATCAACTTAGGAATTCTCTCCTGCTCTTCCATTCTCTCGGCCCATGCAATTTAGATCACATCCTGGGTAAATGTAGAGGGACGAGAGTGAAAACCTCATTGTTCCTTTTTCCCCAATTAGCCCCTAAGTTGTCATCGTCCCTCCCGGCTTCTTTTTCCACTCCCTTTCAGTTTCTTTTATAGCTTATCAGCTTTCAGCCTTCAAATCCTGCTGTAAGGAAGTCAGACTTGCGCCTGTAATCCCCAGGTGTATTTCCGAGCAACGTTCCCAAGAAGCTTTTGATGGAGGCAGGGGAGAGAAGAGGAAAAAAAAAAAAACAAACCCGCAGAGAAAGAAACACACGAGACAACTTCAGAACCCAGTTTCTGGGAACTTTGATTAAAACCTGGGGGAAGGTAGGTTGAACCTAAGTCATTGTGTTTGCACAAAGCTTCATCACTTAATCTAGCAAACTCCGGGCGGTTTCACACAGCAAAATGCTTCAGAGGGTCTGCATGCAGTATCATTCCTGTTTCGCTCTTCATGCACATGACACCAGCCTTCTGGAGGGCCTATAACCGGTAACAGCTTTAGGGAAACGCGAGGTTTTAGACATACAATTTTAAGAAACGCTTGTCGCAGTCTTCCATCCACCATGCACTCGCCTTCAGAGGGTGTCACACGGATAAGGGAGACAGCTCCTCTCCAGCCTGCAAAACAGTCGCAAATTGTGCCCTGTCGTTGTACAGCCCCAGTTCTCTTACTGCCAATTTTACCTGCTCAACTCAGCCGGGCGACTGCTGGCAAGGACACTTCGTACTTGCTTATCCCAAAGGCTGTTACGTTTCGGTGGGCATGAGGGTCAGAGTCCATTTAACCGACAAACCTACTTTTGAGTCTTCCTGTCCCAGGGGGATAATCTCCCAGGTGGATTTCTCTTTCTATGTGACACTGTCACCTTGGCTTTGACAAAGTTTATTAGACTTCCCACCGCGCCGGGCATTAAAGCATTCGGCTTACCCTGCCTCATCAGCATACCTCAGGAAAAGCAGCACCTTTCTCACACATCAGGCTACTCCAGCGAGTGTTTTGAGGGAAAAGCGCGTGACTGAATTTAACTACTAGTAGTTCAGAGGGTGTGGCTCAGCATCCCCAGTTCCTTCGGCTCAGCTCTCGTCATTATCGATTGTTTTGGCAACTGGAGTTAAGAACACAAGATCCATTTGTACGACAGAAGTCCCATAAGAGTACCAAATTCCCAGGGAGGGAAGGGAATGGCGAAAAAGAACACACTTTAACTTAATGAGAGATCAGATGGGGGGAAGATACCCAAACCCAGACCACGTAATCTCCACTTCAACTGACAAGAAATTATCCCAATTATCTCAACTTCTGGTACATTTGGCACCGTTTAGCAGGCTCCTCTGAGTTTTTTTGCTGCTCCCACTATCTTCTTTGGGGGGAGGTTTGGGGGGTTTTGGGTGGTTTTTGGGGGCTAGGTTTTTTGTTTTGTTTTTTAACTTCAGTTCTGCTGGAGGTAACATGCCATATGAGCTGAAACAACGCTCTACGTCGGGTGGTAACTTTGCTCCCTTCATTCTGTGCTTGAAAAGGAAACACATGAATGACCTCCACAGTCATTAAAAAAAAAAAAGCTCAAATATGTTTATTTTGGCACAGTTTAAAAATATACAAATACATTAAATATCAGGGTTCATTAAAGCCAATTTTTTAAAATATAGATAGGTATGTATTATTACTTTGAAAGGAGATGGAAACCAAAACACCACATTATATATCTATAATTTGACAGTGCAAACAAACGAGAAACTGTTTAGACCACGAGTCCACTGTGTCAGACAGCAATAACAAAAGCTGAACAGTTCCTGAAACACAAAAGAAGAGTTAAAAAAAAAAAAAACAACCCACAAATCTGCTGCATTTCAAAGAGTTTGCTGGGGGCAGGGGGGAAGGTGGGGAGTACGGGAAGGGGAAGCAAGATGTTATCGTTGAGAACAACTTGACTGCACAGAAGTTAGAGCACTAGACGCTCGAGATTAAACTAAGTCACAACATGCACTTGAGGGTAAGGTAGGGTTCAGACAGCACAATGACACAAATGATCCTTCAATAATTTATGTGTGGAAAGAATTTATCAGCAACTAAGCAATACCAGAATGCACTATGGTCGACAGATTCGCAAGCAGAGCCTCCCTGCTTTCAAAGGTGCAGCTTCTTGGCATTATTTGCATAGTTACTCCTTTTCCTCAGCCGTTAGGAAAATATTCAGCAACTAAGTTGAGGAAAAACCTCTGACCTCCAGACAGAATTTCTACCTGTGGAAAAATCGCAGCAGCGCAGAGATAAAAAGACATCAACATGACAGAAACAGAACTGCCGCTTCCTGAACTTGGAACATAACGAACTATAAAGCACATTTCATAATGAAAGCTGAAGGCTCTCATAATGGCATGTCTGCTGTCTTCAGTTTTGTCCAGTAGAACAAAAATTGTGATAGAAAAAGAATCTTAAGTTTCTCCATACAGCAATTCAGAGGGGTTTTTTTGGCACGAGGGCCTTTATACGGTTTGTTCTTTATCCCTAATCTTTGCCCTAGCTTGTTTGGATGCTACAAGAGATCTCTTTACCTTGTAAGGAGAGAGATAAAAGTAAATACAGCTGCCCTGAAGCTTACATAAAACCAGGTCTATTCAATAAGATAAATATATCTCCTCCTATCCCAGTTCTTTTAGATTTGAATAGGCTTCTAACCACAGAGAAAAGCAAATCTGGATCACAAAGTTTGGACTCTCCATATGGGTGTCATGTCAGCTCAAGACAGTTATGTTCACATTTATCCTGAAAAAGAGAACCGACTGTTCCAGTTTATGCTCATGCCAGTGGATGCTGATGAAGAGCTTCCAAGTAATTTATTTTAGGAGCACAGACCCATAATGGAGCGCCAGCTAAACCAAAACAGGCAACAGAAACACAGGTAGGTGGGAATGCACAAGCTGCATAGTTAGAATTTCACATATGGTGACGGCGACACTTCAACCAATTTAGCAACCTCAGGTTTTTCCACTTATTTTCCAGCCACCCACTCTCACGCCCGTACCACTGTGCCCTTTATGCTGATATATGTGCTCACACGGCAACAGAGTCACCCGTGCCAGGGAAAAAAATTGGTGGATAACCTAGCCAAAAACAAAAAATTAGTTTATAGCTACTCTGATTTCCTGATCAAGTGACTGCTCAGCCACGCAGCTGGCATAAGATGGGCAACAACCACCATCTGAGAGCGGGGGCTATTTAGGCTGGCGCTTTCAACGGGGAAATATTTGTGGAGCTCTGTCATAAGGTGCTGGCCTGCAGATGTCAGGCATGTGAACGAAGGGCTTGACCCAAGAAACCCCTTATTGCATTGGCAGAAATTCACCCGATCCCAGTTCATCCCACCACTCGCAGACACATCTACCCTGCAGGAATTTCGGTTTCCCTTCAACTGCTGTGTCGAGGGAAGGAAGCTAGCAGAGATGGTCTTTGCAGGACAGACAGAGCAGCCTATCAGTCACAAAGCCATGGCAAATGGCTCTTTATCCCAGGAAGGAGCCCGAAGCCAATTGGAAAAGCTTCCCAACAGATTCCCACACTTGGGATTGGACCCATACTGACCACAGCCTTCAAAAGCACCAAGAACAGCAGTATCTGGCTAGTGGGTCTATATTCACAGTTAAAAACCAGGGTCAGCTATGCCGTAGGCTGAAGAGGATGCTCCAGGAGGCATCTTTTTTTTTGCTTCAAAAGGATACTGTGTGTTCACTGTGGGTATATTTGTCCTACAACGTTAAAGCAGCGGCACTTAGTGTTCACCTTTACAAGTGGGTCCTTCAAACCAGTCCACATCCTTGAGTAATCCCAGTATTTTGCGTTGGCCTGCAGCACTGAGACGTTCAGCTCTGGGGACACAGCACACATCACAACACAGGAAGAAGAACTTGCCAAAACTGTACCAAAGCAAGGCAGATTCTTTAAAAAGACTTTAAAGACGGCATCTGTAGGAGACAAACGGAATCACAGAGCTGGAATAGTGCATTTCAAGACCGCCAAAGCAGGTCACCGAACCGGGCGCAGCCTGCCACCAGCATCTTGGCGTTAGTTCATTTCTCTGTTAACATTTGGCACAAACACTTTGACGCAGCAATTTGGCTTCCACTTAGGTCAGCTGCTTGCGATGTTTTCCTGGCACTTCAGTGGATTCAGCAAAGGTTTCTTCGACACCGTGCACACTTATAAAGTCCTCAGGCAAGAACGAAGGCTAAACATTGCTGACCCTGGTTTCGGAAGAAGAGATCATAGCAGCCGACGTGGACGTCACGAGTGACCGTTCTCGTCTGACGTATCGTGGCTTCCGAACTGAAATGGTGGGCACAGAAACAGCGTTAGCACCTCCTGTAGAAGCACGCCTTTATCATCCATCCCTCACACCACATGCCATCCAACAAGTCCCGAGTGACTGAAGTCACTCTGGACCTTAAAAGAAAAAACCAAACCAAACCACACCACAAAAAACCCTACGTGGAGCTGATGACGCAAAAGTCCGCAAATGAACTTTTCAAACAAGCTTCTAATGAGGTGCTCGTTACAAGCTGGCATTTCCATTATTTCTTCCATTTTACAATACATGCAGCTTTCCATTTTCAGCCCTAACAAACCCCCCCCACAGCTGTACTTTCTTTTCAAATAGATGTATCAGTTAAGGTAAGGAAACTGAGACTTTTCACAAGCAACACGGCCTGTCAGTTTAACAGCCAGACTCAGACCAAGTTTGGAACATATCTACAAAAGTTTAAAAGCTAAAGACTGCATTAATAAAAATTAAATTTTAATTACACCATCTTGATTTAAAAGACCTATGTGTACATGAGAAGTGAGACCAGAATTTTTCCTGAGCTTAGAAGGCCACTATTTCTTAAGTTTTTTTAGAAGATTTGGTCTGTCTCACTTTTAAGTCACTGCAAGTTCTGCCATTGTCTTGAAAGTACATGGATCAAGCATAGAGCCAAGATGTTTTACTGTATTGCCCTGGCCAAATAAATCCACTTTCTTAGCCACTCTAAATTCATTTTGTGTATAGATAGAAAATTTTCTATCATTTGCAAAATATATCCTTTACTACCTACTTCTTTTTGAGCTTTGTTACATGGTCAGAGACACCTAAAAGAATGCCTTGACTTGATGAGGTGTAATCTATTGCCTTTTCAAAAAATATGCATTTTGAGAGAGTCATATTTAGATATTTCATGCTTTATTAGGCTCTCATTGCCTCACTAATAATATAAGAGCAGCACGTAGTATTTCCTAGAAGTAGCACCAATTTAGAGGCCCCACAAAAAGCAAGTTTTTGCTCTTTGATTACCCAGATCTGGACTAAAACAGCAGGTTAGAGTACAAACTTCTTAGCAACATCTATAGGTTGAAACGATGAAAAATCAGGGTGGAAAATTGAGACAAGCTGATTAGATGAAATCTTCCCCAAGAACTAAATTTCTGCCTGAGCTTCACACGTGTTAAAACCCCACCTTGCTAAAAAGAGCCAACCTACAAACACCCCCCCCACACCACGTACGCACAAACCGGTGTATTCCAAACAGTCTGTCATTTCCAGAAGCTGATAAGCTTCAAATCAGCAAGCCTGCAAATGAGCCAACCTGGCATTATCAAGAAGATTCCAATCCTGAAAATAGTTCCCAGGCTGAATAATTTATTTTTGAGCACTTATGAAAAAAATATTGCACCTACTTGTAAGATTTCTCTATTAGGATAGAGAAGTCGAAGATCTATTTTAGGAGCTGTCAACGATCTATTTTAATATAAAGTACTCCATCAATACTGTATGCCTCCATTAATTGAAGCAATAAATCCTATCAAAAAAGGGGTACTAGACAGATTTCATTGGATTTCTGTCCCCTCAACAGATTCCACAGTTCTACACCAGGCTTTACAGGTAATTGTTTTGACTTGGCTGTGTGTTCTTAGCATATCCACTTTGAGATAGTCTGCCTGCTTTTCGATAACGAGAGGCATAAAAGGGAAGCCAACAGGTAAAAATATTTGTAGCAGCCTACCCCAGGGAACAGTTCCTCACCTGAAGAAGCTGGGGGAGGTATCATGGATGCCTGCATAACAGAAGAATGATCATGTCAAACAAAGCACCTTTTGTCTTCACAGTCTTTCATTAAAAAATACAGGAACAGTTTTGGGTTCCCATAACATTTACTGTGCTCATAGTCTGTCTTGGAGAAAGTAACTCAAGAGAAGCCATACGGTCAGTACTCATCTTTCACCTTTTTTTCCCAGTTTGGACAAAGAACCCAAAACATCTTTTATTTTATTTCAGTCTCTCATACATCAGATTAAGCAGCTCCCTAATGAACTGTTAAAACATTAAGTTGTTGTTTACTTCATGTTTTAAGCTTGCTTGTTCCTACTGGAGAGACAGAATTTACTTACTGTTTCACTAGGCTGGAGAACAGAGGCTAAAAAAAGAGAGAGAGAGAGAGAGACTAACCATCATTAATCTAGAAGGCTAGAACTGCCAATTTTCTAAAAATACATGCATGCAACAGAACAGTTCTATTGTTAAAAAAAAATAGTTTTGTCAAAGACTACCAAACCAGACCAGAACATTCAGAAATCCCATTAGCAGAATACATTGTAGGACCCTTCAAGATGAGAGAAAAAGGGTTGCAAAGGTCTCCAAGGATGACTTATTTTGCTTTCAAAGAAGGTAGCCACAGCAGTATCTCTTTAATATGAAGAAGCTTCAATAGGTGAAATGTTGCTTTGAGGCAGTACAAATGGAAAACAATTGAGCAGTGAAGATGCAACCCTTTTGCACAAGAGGTTGCTGCCTTTATGGGCCACATGGTCATCATCATCCAGACAGAACGAAAGCTAACATGATATTAAGCCAGAGAAATGTTTCTAACGCTTCTCCTTCAAAGGAGAGCACCGGTGCTTTAGCCTGCTGGGCCAGGGTGAGCTATCAGTACAAAATGTGGAAGTCAGACCAGTATCACTGAAGCCTCAGAGGTCTGCTGTCCTGCCAGCTTAGAAATGTCCTAGCACGACAGCTCTTGACCAGCTTAAAAACTGAAGGAGAATCTTGTACTAACTAAAATTTACTTGAAGACACGTGCAAAAGCAACCTAGAGGTTTCAGTCGGGCAGTTGTGATCAGGATACCAGCAGTTCCTGTGGCACTGCCGTACTCTTTTACGTGAAATGATAGCACAGAGATGTTCCATGAAGTTACTATGCCTAGACACCACATTCTTAGTCAAACAATGGAGTTGTGTTGTCCCACCCACCCCCTTCTTTTTCTCTTTTTAAGCTTATTTCTATTGTGACAGTCTAGCTTGAGCTTGGTTCTGTAAGACAGGAATTAAAAATAACAGGAGGTCTGTTTGTTTAGCAGAGCTAACCAGTAAACAGCTTGCTTTCAACAGAAGGAGCTCTAACACAGCAAATGCTGTGCTAGAGGTTGTCATGGGAATCAAAGCGACTGCACGGAAGGGGCGAGACAGAGTCATAGATCAGGCTCAGTTTCATGCAAAACACCGGGCAAAATGGAGACATCACCTTCCCTGTATTTTGCTTACCACCTCCCAGCTATTGAAGACCAGTAAAATGTGGACACATAGAACAACTTCACAGAAAACTGAAGCATCTGGAAGAGCCAGATGTCTACACAAAGTCTTGGTGCCCTGTGGCTGAGCACATCCCAGGTGTTCTCTCCCTAGCTTTTCTGGAATCACTTTGGCACGAAGTCAGGCCACTGCATTTTAGTTCCATGCCTTCATTTCTCAGTAATAGGAATTGCAGGAATAAAGAATAAAATTAATTATAAAAAGAAAAGCTAAGGGGTGTTTGCTTTAAAAAAAATAATCATCAGGCAGTCAGCTCTTCCAAGCCTCAGTAAATCCTGCATTTAGAGGGCAAACACATTTGAATAAGTAGTGCGATACTGACGAACCTCAGATTCCATTCCTTTTCTCCTGCTGCCGAGAGTTCCCTTCTCTCTAAACCAAGAATAAGCAACAACTGCTTTTGGTAACGCTTTGTAAGTGTCTGGCATTTGGGCATTGAAATAAGCAAGCAGGAAGTTCTAGAAAAATGCCCTCTGTGCAAAAAACACTGATTTTTTTATTTTTTCTTTTTGAAATGAGATATCGAATATTCAGTGACAACTAGCATCAAGTATTGTATTCTGGCAGATCTTTAGAAGCTACAAAACCCAATAGCTGGGTTAGCGAGAGACTGTGTGTTACGTGCACCTGAGCAGACTTAGACTGAGAACAGACATCCTCTGCACCGCCAGGAAAACACGACACTCTAAACACATAGCAGGAAAAAAATTGTTCATTAGTTCGCATTGCTTTGGATGATCAAAAGAGGTAGCAGGAGCTAGATTACGTTAGAACACTGACACGAAGAAATTGAAAAGGTTTTACATTAAGAATCTGAGCAAGGGCCAAAACTTGAGATATTAAATAGACAATTAGAAGTATTTTACCTTTGTTTCTTCTGTAGAAAACATTAGGAAGTTTATTGGCACGTTTGAGGTAGAAGAAAGAAGCAACAGACAAGATCAGGAATAAACTGATGAAAAATGTCCCTAAGATGAGAGAGGCTGCCACTTCTGGGCCCCCTGTACCAAAAAAAAAAAAAAAAAAAGAAAAAGAAAGAAAAAGAGAAAGAGAGAGAAAAGACTATTACTCACTAGAAATCTCTTCTAATAGAAGGGTTAAACAAAAGGTAAAGATCAACTTCCTGATGTCCACAGGAGGAAAAAAAAGGTGGGGTCTTTTTTAATATACAGACAGGCCTCACTGAAACATTTGCAAAGATCTTTCAATGCTCGTTTTGTTACACGAACAACTTCCCCAACCCCACCTGCCAAACGTCAGGCAAGCCTCAGTCTCTACTTTCCTGGAGGTAGCCAGGAATTTTTAATGTTTTCATCCTGTTTCTTTTACATAACTTTCAAAACTAGTGCTGGAGGCACTCAACATTAATAGTGTTCTTCTATTCCTTAAATGAAATCTCCTAAAGACAGAACTAGTCAACCAGCGATGTAGCACTGGTCCAGTACACCCATTATTATGTTTTCCACACGTGACTGATACAGAAACCATCCCAAGGAGGCAGACATCACCAAAAGGTGCCCTCCCTCACCTCTATTCCACTTTCCCTGCCTCGAAAAAATGCCCTGCATCCTTATTCTGCTGGTTTATTTATTTAAGATTATGATCCCAAAGAGCAAGTGTTTTCAGAAGCAAAAACTGTTCTTGTTGCAGACAAACTATACATCTGACAAGCTCTGCTTGAGAAGTCCACCTTCTGAAGAGCACTAGATACTTCAAGTCAAGTACACACCCATGACAAACGTTAGAAAGGGATCAGCAGCACCCGAGTTCGACGGGGCTGTTCAGCTTTCCTTTTTCAGAGCACTCACCCTGTAACACTAAATCACTTCATTTGGCACCCGATCTCTTGCTGAAATGTGCAATGCTGCTATTAAGTATTCTCAATTCGTCTTATTCTTACCAATGTGGAAGAAGTATTTTTAGGAGATTAAATGGAAATGACTGGCCAGCAGTGATAAAATCAACCTACAGAAAGGCTAACCGAGATGTAACAGATGCGTAACATGTTGCCTCATCCCTCAAACCCAAAACTGTTGCACTGTAGGGTTCAAAACTCAAGTTATGGGGTTTCAAAAATAACCTGCACCAGAAAAATCACCTCAAGAAAGCTAGGACAAGATGAAAGAGCCATTCAGCAAAATAGTTGCCTTCAAATTCAGCTCTAAGACTTCTAAAAGGTTTTTGTTGAGAACAAGCCAGAAAAAAAAAACGACTGCTACATTTCGACTAAAACCTGTGCTACAGAAAAACGTATTTTACAACTTGTTTCCAGTGTCATGTCATGAAGAGGCTGGTATGGAGTGAACTATCACAAAGCCTGCACTCAATAGCTATTCCCATTTACTCACCCATGTTCTGTATGAAAGGAGTTACTGTGCTTATATTCATTTGGAAATTCATTCCTCTGATACCAGCTGTAATCAGAAAGAATTTTTTGAAGTGAAATCTGACAAAAACTACAGATTTGTTGAAAATCTTAGTAAAAGGCTATTATACTTCTCAGTAATTATTTGAAACTGCGTAAGACTCCTGATCTCTCCCACGAAAAATTAATTCTTTAAATCACTTTCAAGAATTTTTTTTAAAAAAAAGGAAGCAAACAAGCATCATCATAATTTGTCCAAAAAGAAAATAATTCACTAGTGCATTTCCCAGAAACTTGACCTAAGTTTCTTATCTCTTCACTAAAACTATTTGCAAGGAACTGAATGGTTCTCACCTCTCAACCAGAGCACCTGTACAAAACTAACCTAGCTTTCCTAACACAGGTTTTTCAAATAACTCAAGTACAGTTTGAGCTATTTTGTGCTCTGGAGAAGTTCCCAGCAAACGCCCACAGTAAATGCCTTTTTCTTACTGTAAAGATTGAAGCAGCCACAAAATTCAGTATTCACTGTATGTTTGATAGAGGTCCTACCCTGGAAGTTTAATCATTTTGATGTTTAGGATTTTTCTTTTTTATTTTAAGAACTTCCATTGGGCAGAATAATTACTTTTTCTTTTTTTTTTTTTACTGTTGCACTTGGCTTCGCAGATCAGCTACTCTAATACACAATGAGATTTTGATTCTTTTCCTCCCTTCCTAGACTCTGGAATGGTTCCACAGCACTCTGCAGGGTTTCTGCAAACTACATTTCAAAGTTTCCCTAGGTTTTGTTGCACATTCAAAAGCTCAAAGGTATATTAGGACTTTGGAAAAAGGTTGAAGTCTTACAACGGGGGAGGGAACTGCAACATTTGATGCCTTCTTGAACAGTCTTTGCTGGACCACACACGCAGGAGATCTTGGTACCAAAAAACACCCGTCAAAAGAAAGGGATGATAAAATGACTCACTAGTTCTGCATTCAGTCAGATTGGAAACAGATGAAACAGGAAGGGTTTCATTCTTGCATTTAATGCAGCTGCTACTACCATCCTCATTCCATCGTCTGTAACAACCTGCGTAAGAATAAGATGCACAGAGGTTTGAAAACAACAAAAAGCGACACTGGGGATGTTTCCTAGTCTTCAGAAAGAGATAGAGGCCACAGAAATTCCCTCTGTTTGGTCTGCTGGTTACAAACATCTCCTGCTTTCTATTATATTACACAAGTTAAGAGGTTTCATTTCAAAGTGTTTATGCCAGAAAAGATATAACCTTTCAAGGGCTGAAAAGGAGAAAGAGTTACGAGCAAACGCTCCCAGAGGGCAATTTCAACATCGCTCCCTTTGCTACTTCACATGTTTTAGTTTTGAGAAAAAATGGGAAGTGCCTAACAACCTGCGACTACCCTCAGCAATACTAAAAAAAAAAAGCAGGATTTTAGTGTTTATTTTCAGAGGTCATACGCTGCCAAAACAAGATTTAATGCCATTTTAATGTATAGTATCAAAAATAGAAGTAGGCAGGGACAAAGATGCTAAGAACCAGCAAGAGCATACTTGGATTAAAAAAAAAAAAAGATACTGGCATCCCTGTAGTCAATCACTTGAAGCATTGCAAGCTAAAAATAAGAATACTGCCATAACTCTTTTTCCCATGCCTCAGTCCTCTCAAGTACTGTACTATTTGTTTCACTTTAAGAAGAACCCAAGCCTGGTTAAACTACTCCGTGACAGATGGCGAGTGTTTTATACCAGTCACCCTGCCGTGCAGGCTGGAAACCGATTAAACTTTCATCTTGGCCTATGTCTTCGATGTTCAAATCTCTGAATTTATGATTAAATGTACACGCCGTTACATCTTTGTTAAGGAAAAAAAATACTTTAGGGCACATCTTCAATAACAACTTAATATAAAAGAATAAATCTGTGGTGGTTTCACTTGAGGCTTAGACTTGAGACATGAAGATTAGAAGGATATTCCTGCTCGATCATATTACAGTCTACTTTTAAAGGAAAAAAAAAAAGTACTGTTTTTTTTTTTTAGAACTGGCTAAAATCCAGTTCTATAGAACCTTGAGCCAAACTGGTATCAATTATCCCATAAAGCAAACCATTAGTAAGGTGCTGATTTGGAAACAGCTCTGCTGCTACGTTTTCCTTAAAGAAAAGCAGCAGATTTGATGCCCAGAGTAATAAATTACATCTGACATTTAATCTAAACACAAACAGACCCGACGTAAGGGCAAAAAACTTTCTATAGTAATAGGAAGGATCAAAGCACACATCTGACACCAAAGATATCGATAGATTATCGGTTTACAATAAGATTTAATAGAACACAATCCCATAACTTGGAGACAATCGTTTATACCATATCTAGGATCATTTAGAAGCAGAAATGAATGCATCAAATGAAGCAACAGTTAGAGACGCTAACGAAGGGGCGAAAATAGATGGGCTTAAAATGCTTTAACAACCATCACAAGGAAATAACCGAACCCAGAAGCTGACCCCAATTTCTAAGTCACTAATTCTCCGGTTCCTGTGGGCTCTGAAGCCATTTCACCGCTTTTACTCTCTGATTTTAAATAAAATGGCATTAAAAATAGACCACCCTTTGCTACTGCTGGAGAGTGACAAAAGAAGTTTTTAACGCCGTTTAGAAGAAAACAACCCTACCTAAGTGGCACAAGGAAGAGCGCAGCATTCTGTGCTAACAAAACAATGCTGAAGTCATTCTTAATGCTCCCTTAAATAGGCATTACAGCATTTTTGTCTTTTATGCTCATTATATGGGCTTTTAGGGCTCTTAAGCATTTACAACAGCTTTTACATAATCCAACTGCACACTAAACAAAAAGAAAGAATAATCTTATTAATAGTCGTCTATTCTCCTTACCATGCCAGAACAACGTTTGTCACTCATAAGAAGCATTACCTTGTGTATACAGAGGAAGAAAGACTTCAGTACGTACATTATTTGTACTAATTATTTTTTTTTTTCACTCCCCAATTAATCAGGTGCTGTATTTTGGTGTTAACTGTCAAAAGCGAGCTGGAATTTCATTTAAAAATCACACACTATACCTGGACTGCACTGGTTGGTTACTGGACAGGAACTGTTTGAATCCAACATATCCACACAGCATTCTGTTTCTGAAACCTAAGAAAAGAAATTACACTACATGTCACACAGCTCTTAATTTTACTAAAATGCTTTAATAAAAAAAAAAAAAAAAGAATCTACAGAGAATGGAGAGGAATAAGCTGTAACTGCAGTCAAAACTTGCTGTAAGTTTTTCTTTCTGCATTAAGCAACCTTACGAGGAGAGAACAAGCTAGATGCACCAACAAGCTGATTTTGACCCGGCAGCTGCTACCCAAACTAACACTTTGAGAACACATGCACACTCTATTGTTGACATTGGACAAAGCCTCAAAAATATGCTTTAGGAATATACTTGCTACATTCTTCAGTGAAGCACAGTTATGGGGGGTGTTATCCTTCCCACAGCATCACACAAGTGCCCTAACAGATTTGCTCAGAAATACTACTGGCAAAAACCAGTTTTCACTGAACGCCCCTATTGCAAGTGACGATAACATCTAGATTCAGCAGAGCAATCCAGCAGAACTACAAAAGCTTCTTCCTTCAGCATTTAGTATAAAAGAATAACTTCACATATCCTGACAATACGTAGTTTATCCTCCTTTTTTTGCTGTTTGTTTGTTTCTATAAAAGCCAGTTTCAAAATTATTTACAAATTACAATAAGCTGTGACAAACTCTGAGATAAACAGCTGCCAGAAACTCTCTGGTTCTTTTGATAGATATCAGTAACATCCCATATTGACTTGGGCATATCCACTGTCTGCATCTGTATAAGAAAAATAAGCCACAAAACTCCCACATCTTTTAAAGTTTTGCAGGCACATCCCTCTAAAGAAACAAGTCAAATCAGTCTTAAAAAGAGGTGAAGTGTTCTTGGTCAAAAGTAACGAGACCTGATCTATATTCAGTCATAGAAGTAGCTTAAATGCACCTAACATTTAACAGCCAGTATTACTCTGCTTACCAGCAAAACCCATCAAATCCAGGGGCGACAAAATCAAAGCTATCAGGAGAAACAGTTGGGACTGTCAAAGCTGAAATCAGTAGGCTGACTTCACGCTGACAGCGCATCATGGGGAGGTAGACTAAAGTAAAGAACCACCTGTAGATAACATCCTTACACCCAGTTTCATAAAAAGTTTTGTTGGCTGAACTCTCCCGCAAGCAGAATTTTATTCCCTGACCTTTTTCTGTGACTTGAAGCAGTGTTTGCTTCAGAGCTTCTCAGCCATTTGAGGTTAACTGTTGGGTATCGGCGTGTTGGGTTGTTTGTAGTTAAACTGCCAAGCAGCTTGAAAAGCATTAATTTGATCATCAGGGTGCTTTTTCCACACGGTGTGAGGTGTTACCGGTTGCATCTCTGCTAGCCTACAAGCACACGACTAGGAAGAACTCAATGCTTTAATAGGCAATTAGCCATCGTAGCAAACGGACCCACAGCAGAAGTTGCAGTTAACGACCGCTAGCAGTACAGGTCGTTTCTGTTGAATTAAAAAGCCTTCTAGAAACTGCAACGTGAGAGGAAAATAATCTGATCCTTCTGCTTTTATAGCACCTAGTGGCAAAGAACCATGAAGTACCTACCGAACTTTCAGTAGATTTGCTGGCAACTTCTGCTACGAGTCTAGTTAAGAGAAGGACGTATGGCACCTCCATGCCCAGGAAAGACACAGGTCTAAATAAGAACAGGGAAAGAAATTAGAATGTCTTATTAATGACAGAGAAGCTACGCTTTCCCTTCGTCGAGGAACTTTTGCCAACACATTCCTTTTATTTGAAAGCCCTTTAAACGAAATATGCCGGGGGAATGACTTACCTTGGTTCAAGATACAAATTTGAGACACAGAATTTTCCCCTCCAGCTGCAGAGGGGCAGGTTTCTGGCTATGGCAGAGCGTGGTTGCTAAGAAACAAGGAGCCTTATCAGTCTGCTCCAAACTGGGCCATGCAGAGACTATTCCACACCCAGGATCTAAAAATCAATGTGATTGCAATAGAACGGTTACCGCCTGGCACCGCCACTGATAAGCCTCCCCACAGCTACAGGCTCCTCTGGCTGCAGCATTGAACTGTGATGGATTTGTATCAGGACAGAGAGCACACGCCACTCGGAAAAGGCAATACTGTAATTAATTTCCCCCATGACAGCACAGTCACGAAGCATTAATGAAGGCTGGCTGTTAATAAGTAGTATTTCTCGATTGCCTGAGAACAGACCGTCTCGAGGTGGAACAGAGTATTTTGGACAGTCTGCTCCAAGCCTTGCTTTTTCCTCCCCTCCTCTTTCGCCATATAACTCCGCACACAACCTAAAGGAAGTCCACATCTCTTACATTAAATTGTTTGGATAAACTAAAAGGCACTATATCATGCTTGATCTGCATTGTTCAGACACTCCCTATGTCAATATTGTAATATCTGCCTCTTCTCTAGGCAATATAATGTTGGAAGCCACATCCAGTTCTCAGAACCTGCAGTACCTGCAGCCTAGTAGCTTTAGGAAAACATAGTCTTTCATATTATAAATAAAAGACGGGGACAAATAAGGGCCTCCAACCAGAGATTAGTAAGAGGAAAGTGTCCGAAAAAAAGCCTTCAACTGGAGGGGAAAACTCCTTTAGCGACTCATCACACAAACTGAAATTTATTACTATCTTTGTTAAATAAAAAAACAGCGGAGGAGTTTTGAACTACTGCAAAATACATACCACGAGCCTTGGCAAGTTGTTTTCCTGAAGAATAAAATGATTGAGCAGTTCCTATGATTAATTTCCATGTGGTTTTTAAAATCACTTACCCACAGCCTCAACTTCAAAACAAGATTAGTTCAGCTTGGTGGGAAAACTTATTATTATCCCCTGCTATCAGCTGAAAGCTCCAAGATCAAGGACTGAAAATCCTGAAAACCGAACTCCAGTCTTACTGCTACAACTCATTTCTACAGCGAGTGAGGAGCGGGGCAGAGCAGGAGAAGCTTGCACTGTCACGATACCTTCCGATTTAAGCAGAACAACGGACGTCAAGCCTGTCAGCGTCAAGCTGCAGCATCCATCACGTCACCGGTTCACGTTTACACACACGGAGACAACACGACACCTACACTAAGAGGAAAAGCAGAGTCAATATAAGCAGAGGACGGTGCGATGGGAGCTGACAAAGGCCGAGGCAGTGCCCTGTTAGCCTTGCTGCGAGGATCATAGGAGCCAAGGAAGGTGAGCAGTGAGGAGCCTTTGTGCGTACAGTGATTCTCCAGAGTGAGACACTACGAGCTACTTGGCTTTGGGAGTGGTACCGCCACCACATCCTGGAGTGAAAATCAAGGTGGATTAGAGCAGTTTACACATGGCTGGAAAGCGATGGCACAGCCGAGAACAACAGGGAAAATTTAGCTTTGGGAATTTCACCCGAGGATGGAAAGGTACATTTCTAATCTACCCCTAAGCTTATAAATTGCTGACTAAAAAGCTTTAATGTTGTTTTTCAACAGTACATGAGGTGACCAGGTACCTCGAACACAAACATCTGTTTTAAAGAAATAGGTGAAGTCACCTCAGAAGATGAAAAGAGACAACCTATGGGCAGCACATCCCCCCCAAAGCCAAGAACACCTAGCTTATAGCTTTGATGGTAACGGTTTCTTCTTCAGCACATTTGAGCAGAACAGAAGCTCCTTACAACTCAGTAAATGATTGCTGATGTAGGCATTGCACTTACCTAGCTTGACAGAGCTTTCTACTCGTGTATGACAGTATAGGAGTACTTATATAAATGCTATGAATAATTCTGTCTCAGATCACATTGGGTGTAACTTTAATATGCACATTTAACCTTTTAAAAACAGGGTTTTTTTCTTTTTGTGCTTTTCTGTTGCAGTAAAAGCTGAGTAACACAACTTCAGGGTTTTTCAAGGCAGTCCAGCAGAGTCTAATGTTAAAACAATCCTCAGGATGCGCGTATGGGTGGATGTATTTTAAACAAACACATAGAGTTTGCCTTGTTACCTATCAGTTTTCTGTAATTTATCTTCAGAAATGAGATGTTGCTTCTTGGTTGAGAAAGACTTTGTCTGGGGAAAAGAGAGTTGGTAAAGACATTTGCTGATAAACTCTTCATTGTTTCAGATGCCATGCACAGATTTTTGCCAATACCTGATTATTACAATAGTTGTAAATACTAAGAAAAGGCGGGTAACAGAGGCATTTGTTTAAACAAGTATATTCCTGTTATCTAGAAAAATACTCACTTCCAAGAACAGGCCGTTCTAAACAAGAAAACATTTGTGAAACTCGCCACTTCTAAGTGCCCGATCCTCCTCTTTGTGAATGCCAATAGCTATACAGCATGAGCTCAATATTGGTTGTATTTCCATGCCTGAAATCAATCAAGATGCTAATTAACAATACTGTGTCATTTATGGGCAGATATTTGTTCACAGCCAGCAGTGATACTAACGACCTAGAACATCTGCCCTGCAGCTGTTCCAGTAGAAATAGGACACGAGATCCATTTGCCCTCAAATCATCAGCCAATATTTTTTATTTCCTGTGAGAGAGAGACAATATCTAAGCTTTATATAGAGATATATTTGTTGTTGGTTGGTTGTTTTCTGTTTGAACCAGTTTTAACTCCAGGAAAAGGAAAGCAGAGATGAACGTGGTACTTTAAAGCTTCCAAACATACGAGGTGTATATTTACTTAATTTACATTTTACTCCAGGTCCCAGAACTGCTTCTTCACATCCTGCTGGATTCTCTGTCGGCCAGTAAAGATTAGAAGCCTAGTAACGTAATTTATAAATAACATTTGTCTGAACGAGGCAGAAATTCAAGCCATGAAGGTAACACTAGAATGGGGTTTTTTAGGATAATGCCCATGAAAGGTATCAGACAGACTTAAGTGTCCATATTCTTTATATGCAATATTACAAAAAAAAACATATATAGCGTTCCTAAAATCTAGCTGTGCAACCTCAGCAAAATTGGAAAGAGCTTGTGACTAGTAAGTCAAAGAATAAATCAAGTGCAGAACTTCCAAATAAGACAGTAACTTCAAGTAGGGATTTGTGCAGTTAATTGGTCTCCCTGTACAAAACCACAGAAGCAACGCAACTCATTTTACTGCTTTCCAGCCACAAGTCAGTCGTAACAGTTCTGTTGCCAACCTGAACAACATTTTAACTTGAGAAAGGAAAAAGCCCCAGAGCCTCCAAGGCATTCAGCTTACACGAATACTAACCACAGCTCTGAATGAGATAGCTGAAGTTTTAGTTTTCAAATTAAGGACGTGAATTCGACCGGGATCAGACACCCACAGCGAAAGTATTTACAAGCCCATAGAATATGTTTCACGTTTGGCAGCGTTTTCTCTTTAGATTACAGAAAAATGATAATATCATGCACAAACTGGAGCCCAAATTAGAAAGTATTTATGCCTGAGATACCAACACACAGCTTCGAGAACACAGACATTTTAATTAAAACAAGTATTTCACACCAGAGTTCCACATTTGAAACAAATCTCAAATCACTGTCAACTTGGATCTCAAGTGCTACAACGCACAAGATAAACACATCAAGATTCACCAAGGGAATTCTTCCTCTTGTTGCTTGTAAAAAAAGAGCGTGAACAATTCACGAACACTAAGCACTAGAAGACTTTTTCCTCCCACTCCCGGAAGCAAGTGTTCCTTCATTCATCTTTATGCCTACGTTTTCCATACATCCAGCTGCGTATTTATTATTTCTGCTGTATTATCAGTATCTTTCTTGTTTGAAGTGTTGCTGGAGCACTGTTTGAGCGAGGTAATTTTTTTTTTCAGGTACATGGAAAAAGATGGCAGCAAAAAGCACCGCCTACATTTCAAGTGGCTTTACAACTCACTCAGCAGACCAGAGTTTGAAACTAGATAGATCGCCCTCTTTCCGCCGCCAAGGCTTCTGAATTCTGATGTGACCTTGAATTAGTCCTGATAAAACAGCCATTCCAGAAAAGTCAAAATGCAGTCTCACCGACTGACTTGTGAAGGCCTAAACTGTCACTTACCAGCTCCCTCAGAGGTACGCACTAGCACGCTGCATCTTCCTCCGATCACACCGAGCGCTTGCGGTGTGTGGTTTACTGCTAATTTCTCATTGACGCTGCAACTGTTTCACAATAAACCTGCACAGCAGAAGAACAGATACGGGTGGTGCTTAGAACAATCTTTTTTTAAATTAAAGCTGAAGGAGGACTTGTTTTTCCAGCTTTCTTATCATGCACCCATGAAAAGAACTACTATCCCTACCCTCACATCAAAATGATTATGCAATAGGCCAGCCACTAACAATTAAAAACACACCTTCCGCTCCAGACAATGAAGATAAGCTATCTGCTTTAAGCTAGGCTTTGCTTCAAAAGCAGTTACATACCTGGCATGTGCCTAAAGCAAACCCCAACATTTACTGTTGTTCAGGCAACAAAAATTTGGCAGTAACACGTTCTGCTGTTACAACAGTGGTTGCAGCCCTAAAAGAAATGAATCCTAGTGCAATTTGGTTGCTAATAGCATAGCTATACACTACAGGGAAAGATGCTTTGGGAACTGAACATATGCATGGCCTGTTTAGGGTTTGTTTATTTTTTTCCCCCTAAACAGCACAACAAAAAT